ATGTCTTTTAATTGTGGCATTTAATGTTTACATTTAGGATTATTATTAATATATAGGAACTTGTTACTGTCATTTTGCTATTTGATCCTTTTTTTTGGTCTTACTTTCTTCCTTTGTGACTGTGTGGTTTTTTCTAGCTGTACATTTTTATTTCTTGCTATTTGCTTTTAGTATATCTCATAAGTTTTTGCATTATGGTTACCATGAAGCTTACAAAAAAATCATGCTATAGTTATAACAAATTATTTTAAATGAATAACAACTTAATTTTGATATCTAAGAAAAAAAAACAAAGCCAACTCTATGCTTTGGCATCATTCCCCTGACTTTTTGATATTTGGTTGTTCTGAGTTTCTGCCTATCTCTTTTATGGTGTTGTATATGTTATTATTTGTTGTTTGTCCTTTTGTCTTTATACTAAGGATATAAGCAGTTTGTCCACCACCCTTACAACACCAGAGTATTCTGAGGTTATCTGTGAACTTACTTTACTAATGAGTTATGTATCTTCAGATGTTTTCTTGCTACTCTTTAGTGTCATCTTCTTCCAAATTGAAGAGCTCCCTTTAGCCTTTCATGTAAGGCAGGTCTAGTGTTGATGAATCCCCTAGTTTTTGTCTGTGTAAGAAAGACATTAAATCTCCTTTATATTTGAAGGTTAGTTTTGCTGGATAGACAATTCTTGATTGACAGTCTTTTTCCTTCAGCACTTTGAATATATCATCCCATTTTCTTCTGGCCTGCAGGGTTTCTACTGAGAACTCTGATGAGAGACATATTGGTGCTCTGTTGAGTGTTATGTGTTTCTTTTCTCTTGCTGCTTTCAGTATTCTTTGTCTTTGGTTTTTGATAATTTGATTATGATGTGCCTTGGGGTGCTCCTCTTGGACTGACTTTGACTGGCAGCCTACCTCTGAGCTTCCTGTATCTGGGTGCTGTCGGCTTTCTCCATACTTGGGAAATTTTCAACCATTTTTCCCTTGAATACACTTTCTAAGTCTCTTCCTTCTTCTCCTTCAGGTATGCCAATTATGCAGAGGTTATTTTGCTTGAAGGAATCCTATATTTGCTTTATTTGTTTCATTTTTTCTCATTCTTTTTTCTTTTTGCTCCTCTGATTGGATAATTTTGTGTTTTGTTTTTAAACTCATTGATTCTTGCCTCTGATTAAGTCTGCTATTGGAGCTTTCTATTGAGTTTTTAGTTCAGATAATGTATTATTTATTTCTAGAATTTCTATCTGTTTTTTTTAATTAATCCTATTATTTTGTCATTTCTTGTTCTGCTCCTGAATTGTTTTCCAGATATCATTTAATTTTCTGTCTGTATTTTGTTGTGACTCTCTGGACATCCTTAAGAGGGTTATATTGAATTCTCTGCCAGACATTTCATAGATCTGCTGTTCCTCTGGGTCCATTGCCAGTGCTTTGTTTGTTTCCTTTGGTAGTGACATATTTCTCAGTTCTTCCTCAATCTTTGTGTCTTTATACTAATGCCTGAGCATTTGAGAAACTGCTACCACTTCTAGGTTTTATAGGTATTCTTTAGTTGTGTTAGATCTTTACTAGTTAATATCAGAGCTTTGTCTCTGGTCTGGGGCTTTTGTTGGTTTGTTTTCCATTTTGTGGTGGATTAACAGCTACCACCACCACTTAGATTCTGCACTGGAACTAATGTGCTGTCCTGTGGCTAATTCTTGAATTGGGGGAACTTCCTATGGGGACCAGAATGTAATCTCTGTGTTTGGGATAAGTTCCTGTTTTGCTGCTGATTCTCTGGGGAAGGCTTTTCATGCAAATAAGATTTTAATCGTTGACATTAATCACTTCCAGGTCTCGGATGTGTGGAAGTTCCAGCCTGTGACTGAGTTTTTCCTACAGATTGTGCCTCCTGCAGTTCTATCACCCTGACTGATTTCCACTGAGTCCAGCTGCTCATGTTGTGCCCCATGTTCCCCAGGAAGACCAGCCTTTCTCCTGCACTCCAGCTGCTTCTCATGGGGCAGGACATGTACACGTCCCTCATGATAATTCACCGGCCTCTGGAAAGCTCATTTCTCTAGTCAGCTGTGGTCACTTGCTCCTATGCAGGCCCAGGGGAATCCTGCCAGCGGTCTTCATGGCCTGTGGCCTGGTCTGGTGCTCTCTGAAACCCATCTGTTTCCTGCAGACTCCAAGCAGGCTCACACAAAGGGTGCCACTGCAGGTTTTTCTGGCTTTGATCCATGTGCTGCAGCTACTCCCCACCCACTATTACACTGGCTCAGAAACAGCCAGGGCTCAGAATGATCAGCACTGTCCCCACACCCTCTTGCTGTGGCCTCTCATGCCTTCACAAACTCCACTGCTCTCTCCTCCTCTTCCCCCAGCTCCAGTGGTCCCAGGCTCCCAGTCTGCTTTTTAATAGTTGTAAACTGGTTATTTGTGGGGAAGAGCAAGGCTGGGAATCATCTATTCTGCCATCTCAGTGATGTCACTCCCTTCATAATCCATTTTTAGAGGATGAATATCTACCCCCACAGATACTCTTTAAAAGAATGGACAGCAGACTACGAACACATCTACTTGTATTAACATGGAATGTGTGGGTGGTTTTATCTAACCCTGGCATCCTAGCCCTTTTGGGAAGGACAGCCCACTTAAACTCACTTCACGAATTAGAATATGCTGGCAAAGGTTTTCTCTAGCCACAGTCAACACTGGAGCTTTGCCCTTCTGTGAGTAAAGGAAAGTCTGTCTCATATGGGCATTTGGAAGTCCATGGTGCGCGCACACACGCACACACATGCACACACACACGCACACACACACACGAGAACATTTTAGCATGGTTAAGCCATAGCAGGGGGACCATCACACCTCAGGCTCCCAGGGTCCCACAGGCAACCAGTGCAGGGAGGCCGAGCCAGGGCTCCTGAGTGGTCATCTCAGTGAGCACATGAGCCATGGTCAGGGGCCTGCGGCTGGCAGGTCTGGTGGAGACAGCAGGGGATCCCAGTCAGGGTTTGATTCCTGGAAGGACCAGCAAGAGCAGGGTCAGGCCCAGTCCTCAGAAACCTGTGCTGCCAAGCAGGTTACAAAGGCAGGGCCTGGGGTGGTGGGAACTAAGATGACAACCCTGTGTCTGGTTTCTGACTTGACAAGGTGCCAGAGCCTAGAAAACATAGGTAAGACAGCCTCGCAGATAAATGCATGCCCCAGATCAGGAATCCCCAGGGCAAAGAAAGCTAATTTTATCTACTTTTCTGACTCTAAGGTAAAAGCACAGTGGGCCTATACAGCATGTAGCTGCACTCTCCCCAAAATAACTCTAAAATAATTTAAAATCTATCTCTGGTGGTCCCTACCAATCTTCTCCTAATTCCATTCCTGTTTATCTTCCTGTTTCTCTCCCTTTATCTATCCCCCAATCCCAATTTCAATGTCTAGGCCCAAAACCTTAATGTTACTGAGATCCATTCACACCATTAGTTAACATTACGATAGTAATATTTTACTATTCCCAGTTTTATTTACATATTTTGAGAGGATCATGGAGAATCTTCTCCAAAGGAATGCATACTTAATAGTAAAATTTCAGCCATGTGATACTTGGATTGGGAGATGTTTTAAGGCAGAGTAAAGCTGCCTGGTATCCATTCCTCCTTCGTAATGGCACCTCAATTTCCTTTTGGGAAATTTTTGCTCCAGCATTATGTAACCCAAGGGCTCACCTCCTATTAGGGACACCAGGCGTGACATAACCTCCCTCTCCCACCCAAGTGTGGCAGAGGGTAAGCATAAGGCTCAGTTCAGTCAGCTGGACATTTGGTGGTCATTTCATCACAGAACCAGCCACATGCTGAACCTGGAGACCCTGCCTTCCAGCCCTTCGGGTGGCCTTTGGGTCCTGCCCGAGTCTCCCCGGGCCCTCCCACTTTCCACTGATCCTGTGAGCCACCTCCCCCGATAGCCTTTCAGTGAAGTACTTTTTAAGTTAACCAGCCTTTGCTGTTTGCAAAGAACATGGATCCCCAAACAGACACCACCACCACCTCTACCCACAGTTGGGCCAATGGTGGCTGGGAAAGGGGGCTGGCGGGCCCACTGTCCTCCCTCCATGCAGAGGCCAGAACTCAACACACCACAGTGATCACCACCATGAACAGATGTTACTAACACATGTGCAACCAGAAACAAGAGTCACTGGAAGGGACCCAGGACGGGAAGGCTGGAAAATGACATCCCGGCATCTGATGGTGACAGGATGGGATCACATGCAGCCCTGAAGGCCAAGGTGAAAGGGGGAACATGCTCTCACCTGCTAGTCTTCCCTCCTCCCTCCTGCCATGTGCATGCACTCATAAGTGCACATGAACACACGCAAGCCCACACAAGTACATGAGCACACAAGTGTACATGTTCACGTACATGGACACACATGCACTCAGCCAACAGGCATCCTTCTACTCCTCTGTGGGGAGAATGTTGTTGGAGAAATATGGCAGGCCCAGTGTCCGGGCAGGGCCAGGTGGCACACGGAGGAAGAGGACAGGAAGGAGGGCAGAGAGACAGAAAAATCCCTGGCTCTTTGGACCTCGATCCCAGAACACCCACAATCGTCTCCCTTTTCTGGTTTGTCCCAAGAGACCAGGTCCCTGCCTTCGCGATCACACACTATTCCACCTAACTGGCTGGGCCACCCAGGCAGCCTGAAAACAAAAACACACATGAGGCATGACACCAGGTCCTCTCTCCCCGCCACCCTCCCCAAGCCCGTGTTCATTCTGCAGTCTGGGAGCAGCACACATCTGTGCTGACAGGGAAGGGGACAGGGAGAGACCAAGGCTCAGCACAGTGGGACTTTCAGGCCCCGAGTGCCAAATGTCTCCTAAGAGAACTCCATCCACAACACCGTGTGCACACACGCACGCACACTTCCCCAGGGCACTGGGAGCCCCAGGGAGGCAGCCAAGAGTGGGCGCTGAGCCAAGAAGAAAAGAGGGCGCAGGCACCCCGGAGTGAGGCAGAGGCAGCTTGCTTCCTAGTGCGTTTATTGGAGCCTTGGTTAAGCATGAATGTGGATCAGAAGCCCCCACCACAGCCCGGTCAGTGTGACAGCAGCAGGGCACAGGGGTTGGTTTCTTTTTCCCCATTATAGACAACATTATTAAAAAAAATAAACTTTACAATAATACAATTTTGCTCATCTGTTGGGGTATTTTTTCAACAATTTTGTTTCTTAAAAAAAGGAAACAAAGGGGAAACCACACGATATATGTATATGGATGTGTATATACATATATATTGAGAAAGGAGCCTCGGTATGTACATACAGTTGTCATACGTCTTAGAAATGAGGAAAGTCAACACGGAAACAGGGAGAAGAGGAGAGGCCTTGGGAGACCAGAGAGTGTGCAGACACACGTCCAACTGCGGTCTCTTCTGCCCCTCTCAGCAGCCCCTCTCCTCAGAGGGAGACCCGCCATATGGACCACAAGAAACCAAAAAAGCCAACAACGTGTCATTTCTCTTTGACTTCAAAATTCCTGCCGTCAAGGAGGAAGAAGCGCCCCAGAGCTGGTGCCCAAGTTTCACCTCCTCCCCACAAGGGGATCTCCCCAAGGGCTGAGCTCCCCAGACCTCCCAGAGCTGGCCCCTGCTACAGTCGGGGGAGCCGGTGCAGCACCACCCCTCCACCAGCATCGGTGGGGGTCCCCACACCAGATGCAGACCCACCTGGCCCACCTGAGGGTAGGTAGGGGGAGAGGGGAGAAGGCGAAACAATCTCCATCCTTGAAGCCAAGAGGAGGGGCTGAAGGTGGTCAGCCAGACTCCCACAGCCCACCCCTGGCAGGTCCCCAGGTGGGCAGCCTGAGAACGCAGCTGCAGGTGTCCCGCCCTCAGCCTACATCGGCCACAGTCACAGTCCCTTCAGCTGCAGGGGCCTTGTCTTGGTCTCTTGCTTTGGAAGGGTACAGAGCAGAAAACACCAGGAGAAGGTGAAGAGCATTTCTAGAACCTCGCACCCTCCTCAGCACTGGGCTTCCCTCACCAGGGGACCTCGGGGCCAGCTCTCAGGCTGTTCGCCTACTTGTCTGTTTGGTTTAGAAAAACTTCTCCAGAGAAGAAACCTGGGAGCAGACAGGTTCAGAGACAAGGCGGGAAAGAAAACTTTTTTTTGCAAGGGGTGTGTGGGTGTCTGTGTTTCCATTTCGTCAGGCGGGTGTCCTCGTCTACGGCGCTTTCAGAAATCTTCCGACGCGGTTCCCAGCGCCTACGAAGCCAGTTTCAGCATCAGCAGGGAGAGAGCAGTCAAGGCAGCCGAGGGTCTGGCTCTGCTGGGGCCTGAGTTAGGTTTGATCACCTTGTTACTCCCTGGGATGATATTTGTTGTGAGCTGAGTCCACAACAGAAGGGAGACAGAAACAAAGAAAACGATTTAAAAAATATACATCAGCAGGGCTGGGATCCGGCCAAGTAAAGGATCCAGGAACTAGATTCCTCAAGCCCCTGCCCTCTCTGTCCACCCAGAGGGACTCTCTTTGCACTCTGAAGGCCCAGCCAGGCTTCTCTGGGGCAGGGATGGGCAGGAACAGAAGGGAACACTGTTCCTCTGGCTCTGTGCTCTCAGGCGTGGGGAGGCAAGGCAGTGATCTCTAGGAAAACAGGCTGCCCTTCCCTGCACTGGGGCTGAGGATCTGCATCCCAGCGAGAAGGCAGACAGTATAAAGAGCTCAAGCAGAAAAGACTCCCACAGTCCACAAGAGAAGAGGACAAGGAGCCCACACTCGCCCTGTTGCTAAATGTGTTTGATTTCCTCCTCCTGCATGAAGCCTTCCCTGCACATCTGTGAGCTTCTCGCTCCTTCTTCCGCAGCATCTTACACTGCGTTTTCTTCTCATTTAAGTGACCATCTTGGGTCTGTAAGACACACACACACACACACACACACACACACACACATATACTGCAATGCTGGTGGCTCCTTCAAGGAAGGGACCGTGTCTTTCCATGCCTCCTAAAAATCACAGAACCAGCACTGAGCAGCTGACCAACACATTTGTCGTAAAGAGTAAGGAAGGTGTAAGAAGGCCTCTGCTCAGAGCAGCCACTCTTCCTGCCCCCAGAGATCACCACAGGCCGTGGCTACAGCCTTTGCACTCCCCTGCCACCTCCCCAGCAGCGCAAGTTCCCACCCAGGTCCAGGCAGAAGCTCTGCTGGCCCAGCTCCTGCAGTGGGATATGGGGGCTCTGAGTCTGAGGCTTACCTAGGCAACACACCCCTCTGGCCCAGCCTTCTGCACCCACCCCCACACTGCCCCTCACTCACCTCTGTGAAGCACATGCTTAACTCTTTGGAGTTGTTGGCCTTCAGCCCCTGCTCCTGTGGGAGAGAAGGCATTAGTAAGGACAGGTCACCAGGCTTTTTCTGCCTGGGCTTTGTCCAGTAACCTGCACAAGGCCCTGCCATCCACCACTGGCATCAAGCTCAGAGTACACAGTGAAGAGTGCCCAATCCACACAGCACANCTTCCGCAGCATCTTACACTGCGTTTTCTTCTCATTTAAGTGACCATCTTGGGTCTGTAAGTCACATATATATATATACATACTGCAATGCTGGTGGCTCCTTCAAGGAAGGGACCGTGTCTTTCCATACCTCCTAAAAATCACAGAACCAGCACTGAGCAGCTGACCAACACATTTGTCGTAAAGAGTAAGGAAGGTGTAAGAAGGCCTCTGCTCAGAGCAGCCACTCTTCCTGCCCCCAGAGATCACCACAGGCCGTGGCTACAGCCTTTGCACTCCCCTGCCACCTCCCCAGCAGCGCAAGTTCCCACCCAGGTCCAGGCAGAAGCTCTGCTGGCCCAGCTCCTGCAGTGGGATATGGGGGCTCTGAGTCTGAGGCTTACCTAGGCAACACACCCCTCTGGCCCAGCCTTCTGCACCCACCCCCACACTGCCCCTCACTCACCTCTGTGAAGCACATGCTTAACTCTTTGGAGTTGTTGGCCTTCAGCCCCTGCTCCTGTGGGAGAGAAGGCATTAGTAAGGACAGGTCACCAGGCTTTTTCTGCCTGGGCTTTGTCCAGTAACCTGCACAAGGCCCTGCCATCCACCACTGGCATCAAGCTCAGAGTACACAGTGAAGAGTGCCCAATCCACACAGCACAAAAGTCCCTGCCCCTTTCTGACACCCTCTGCAATTAAGTCCTGGCTCCTCCAGGCTCCTGGAGAAGAGATCTGAACTCTGTTCTGCAACGTATGGTATATGTAGTAATCAGCCATTCACGTGTCTGTTTACATGCTCCGAGCTCCTCAACAGCAGGGACCACGTCTTCTTTTCCTCACGTTGAGCAGTGTTTGGCTCATAACAGCAGCTCAATAATTTACTAGATGCATGCATGAATGAATGAATGAATGAATGAATGAATGACACAGATCAGAAATGGCATCTGCATACCAGCTCTTCGTTATTTGTGAAGGCTGTTGGAGGGCTCTATAGAGAGAGATCGTGAGCTCTCTTCTGGGCTCAGAGGGATGAGAGCTGTAATTGATTAGTGATGCCTGCCACTGGCACATGTGAGGCAGACAGCTGGCCACTGTGCCAGGCCATTTCCACCAGAAACAGATATGCAGCACCTGGGAGCTCTAGGACAGGTGAGGAGTGGGAAAGATGGTGTGCTGATGACTCCAGTATTCTCCACCCTGGCCTCACCACCTGGATGCAAGATCTGAGGGTACACACGAAGAACAGTCCTCTGTTATGGTCCTCCTAATCATGATCCATGGGAACGAGCTGGGGACGTGGTATTTTTCCATCCTGGCTTTGAATGGCTTGTTCCCCGGGCAACGGCAGGGAAGCACTGACCACCAGAAGCAACTGGGAAGCCCAGGAAGTTATGCCTAAATCATTGCTCTTGGCCAGAAGTATTGATAATCCCTCAGACATCACAGGCAATCTACCACCCAGGGCAACTGGTCAGCCCCACAAGAACCCAGCTGTCACACAGACACCCCAGCCAAGAGTGGAGTCACTGCCAGTGGTGGAGACAGGACCACGGTGATGATTAGTACATCAGTCACAGAGCCCAGGGACCTGACCCAGGAGGGTCCTGTTCAAGACCATAGCATCAGTGACTTCAGGTGCCCAGACATGGCCCAGCCACCCACCAACGGCTGCCTTCTGCAAAGGCCGTGTGCTCTGAGACCCTTCCAACCCCAAGGATTGGATTCTATACCCCAGGACTTGGCGCCACTCCAGCTAGAGCTGTGTGAGGCAACTGTGGAGGCAGAACACGGCCCCCTAGTTCAGAGGTTTGCTGTCGTCCCCACCTTCCACCTGCCCTCTCTCACCCCTTTGCTAATCCTCACCCAATCACCTCGGTCCCCACCTGTGATTTCCTGTGGCCTGTTGGGTCTGCAGGGTATAAATAGTTGCTATTTATAAATAGGTGCTATTTATACCCCGCATTAGTTCCTACTCTGATAGTTTTAGGTATGGGAGACCTGTCCCACCCCCTTTTGGAGGTCCCTGTCTCATCTGTGTCCCACCCCCATAGCCCACGCAGAACCACAGCAACAGACAGCCCAATGGGACTCAAGGTTCTCACCCCTTTTCAACGAGAAAAGCTCCATTTTTATTTGTTTTATATATTCGAGTTATGCATAAAATTGTTTTAAAAATACTCCACTGCTTAAAAAACAATAAGATTTCAGAAAACAACTAAACTAGGTGGCCTCTAAGGAGAGGCCATGTGACCTTCTGTGACTGGGATAGCAGTTCTCAGGGAAGCCCAGGGTCCTGGCCAGACCTGATTCCATGCCGAGGTCAGCCTGCGCAGAGCAGCTGGCAAAGCACCAGGACCAGAGTCCTTTTCTCCTGCGGCTCAGCAGGTGTGAGGGGCCGAAATCTGCAGGTGGAGCCTCTCTGGAGCACACCTGGCCTGGGACTGGCTTTTGCTCTTCAGAGTGAGCAGGACTTGCCAGCTTCTTCTTCATTAAGGGAGAGTGCAGAAGGGTGTTGGCAAATATTACTCAGGAAAAATGAGAGGGAAGAGAGAACGCGGAGAGAGGGAGAAGTAAGAGGAAACAAGGGGAAAGTAGAGAAAGTGCAGGAGGAAGTCTCTGCTGAGGGGCACGCCTCCCGCCTCTGCCCGCCTGATTTCCAGAAAACACAGAGCAGACAGCTCAGGCCGCAGGAGCCTCCCAGATGGCCAACGTGAGTCCCCTCACCCAGTCCTGGGCACACAGACAATTGACCTTTCCTAAAAGCTGATCTTTCCTAAACGCAGCATGGGGGGGCGGGGGGCGGTGACAGAGAGAAAGAAATGCCACCACCTAATGCCGAAACCAACAGTGGCCCAAACTCACTGCCTCCCCCTCCATGAATGTGCCTCTCCCCCTCCCCCAAGTTAGTCACAGCTCCCCCCTCCAAGGCTCACACCCTAATAGAGAGATAAACCTCCACACCAGTCAAATGAGTGGGATGGGGAGAGCAGGCTGGGAGGAAGTCTCTGCTGAGGGGCACGCCTCCCGCCTCTGCCCGCCTGATTTCCAGAAAACACAGAGCAGACAGCTCAGGCCGCAGGAGCCTCCCAGATGGCCAACGTGAGTCCGCTCGCCCAGTCCTGGGCACACAGACAGTTGACCTTTCCTAAAAGCTGATCTTTCCTAAACGCAGCATGGGGGGGCGGGGGGCGGTGACAGAGAGAAAGAAATGCCACCACCTAATGCCGAAACCACCAGTGGCCCAAACTTACTGCCTCCCCCGCCACGAATGTGCCTCTCCCCCTCCCCCAAATTAGTCACAGCCCCGCCCTCCAAGGCTCACATCCTGATAGAGAAATAAACGTCCACACCAGTCAAATGAGCGGGATGAGGAGAGCAGGCTGCCCCCTCACCCAGACCCCTCTAGCTGCGGCCGTTTTCCTGAGGCCATGCCCACCTCGTGCCCAGATCTCCCTGAACGTGCTGGACTCTGGTGGAAGGAATCACAGAGCGGTCCCTGCCCCTTCCCTACTCTGAGCCTCTCATCCCCTGGAGGCGAGCTCAGGGCCTGTGTGCACAGTGTCCCAAAGGACACAGGCCTGGGCTGCCAGGATGGCCTGACTCGGAGCTTCTAACAGAAAATCCTTCTGACATGGAGGCGAGCAGAGGAACTTTGTGGGAAGTGCTGATGCATGAAAGAACTGGCCCCTGCAGGTGGCACAGGGGAAAGGCAGGGAGGATGGCAGCAAAGGCAAGCTTCATCCTTCTAGAACTTTCTCCCAGAGAGGCCCCTTTGCCCAGGGAGTTGGAAGGAAATTATTGTCTTCCTCCTCTTCTTCCTTGGCCACCTCTGTCCCTACCCACCAGCCAAGCCCAGCCTGGCAGTCCCACAGCCTCACTGGGACTGGACTGGCCCAGATGCTATTAAATAGGTCCAGCACTGTCCTGCTGGCCAGAGCTGGCAGCTCTCTGCTGTTCCCTGCTCCTGTTCCTGGCCCTGTCCCCAAACTTCAGTGCCCTTGTCCCCCTCCCTCCCTCTGCCCCGCTGGTGAGTACCTGGCCCTCTCCTGCACACACCCACCCCAGCAACTCGCAGCCCTCCTCCCCCTCCACTCCCTGCCCACCCTAGCTCAGCCCCTCCTTTCTTACCCGTCTATCACCACAAAGATCTCCTAACAGGTCCTCCTGTCTCTCCAGCCTCTCTCCTGCCAACCAATCTCCACCCGCTGTCAGATTAATCTCCCTCAGTCACAGTCCCGATTACAACTCAGTGCTCCCCTGTTCCAAAGCCTTCCAGGGGACCCCTCAACACTCACCACTTCAACTGCTCTTCACATTACACCCACCTCCCTTCCCATGTTTCCTCCAGATCAGGGGCTGTGAAGGGCCAAAGGGCAACTATGTTAGTCTTTGCAGGACACATAGTCTGTCACAATGACTCAACTCTGGCTGTAGCACAGACAATACACACACAGAAGGGTGTGATCCTGTCCCAATGAAACATAGTTCACACAAACAGCCAGAACACACCCCTACTCGACACCCTCTATGCTATCCTGACCCCACATCTCGGCTCCTCCTTAATCCCCCACCAGGGACGCCCTGCCTGCTCTGACCCCAGCTCGACGTCCCATGTATCCAATTCTCCCTGTTCTTCCAGGCCTGGCAGCAGGCTCCACCTTGCCTGTGAGTCCTCGGCTTCCACTCCCAGTCAAAGCAGTCCTGCTCTCCTCTGATTACATCATGCTGCATCAGTCCTCACAATCATCTGAGCGCACATCCTGTCCCTCACCGTCACCTGAGCTCACATCCTGTCCCTCACCATCATCTGAGCTCACAAGCGCCACCACAGAGCCAGTCAATCAGAGACCAGCAGGAAGGAGGGGGCTCACGGAGCTGAGGGACAGGAGAGGGTGCATCTGGGGAGAAGGAACCACACCTGCACCAGCCTCCAGGAGAGCCGAAGTCAGGGACAAGGACTTCTTCACTCCACACTGCCAGTGCCTGGCATGCTCATCAAAAAGAATATAATTAAAACAGAATCAGCGGCCTGCCCCTCCCACTTCTCTGGAAAGGAACCTGGGGAGTGATGGTGGGTGGGCACCTTAGGAGGGTCTGATTCTCTTCCTTTCCACCTGGGATGGCTGTCCCTTGCTGTCCTGCGCAGAGTGACTTAGTCAATAGGCCCCGAGTGGACAGTCACTGGGGCCAGGCAGCTCCCCCAGCCCGGGACTGATGGCACCTAACATTTGTGTAGCGCTCCTTCCTCAGCTTACAAAGCACTTCCACATACGTACAGATCGTCCACTGTCTCCACCGGAATCAAGCCAAGATTAAGACAAGCCCCCAGACAGTGAGTCTGCAGAAAACCAGGCTGGGGCTAAAAGAAACCAAGTGACAGATGGCTTAGCAAACTGCTGAGAGAAAACAGGGGGAAAAAAACGGGAGTCAGAATCATCAGGCCCTGAAGGGGGCTGGGGTGGGGTGCATGAAGCCACGGCTTTGAACTTCTCTACACCCACGATGAACCACATTGTCTTGGGAAAGGTCGGCAGCCATCTGCTAAGTCAGCATCTCCCCAGGTGAGTGGACCCAGGTGACCTCGTGGACGGACAGTGGGTGCCATATGGGAGGCTGATCAGGTCCGGAGGGACATGTGGACCACGCCAGCACACGGTCACCTGACAGGTGGCACAGCCCTGACCAACCAAGCTGCCCACCTCTCTAGCATGAAATTGAGCTGGCAGTTGTCTGTGCAGCAGGACCCCGAGCCCCCTGCCAGCAGCCACTCAAGCATGCCCAGTGTAATTAGGAGCTGCCCAAGGGTGACACGGGCACCTCAGCCCAATCGGGAGGGGTGACATAATGGAGGGAGTGGGGCATGGAAGGCTCCATGCTGAGCCCAACAGGAGGACATGTGGAGGTCAGCTGTCACCGAGCAGGGGACCCCAACCAGGAGGTGAAGGGGAGGTGGGAAGAGGGCCTCCTAACTGGCACGGGCATCAGGACACAAACTATTGGTGCACTGGGTGCCAGGAGGAACCAGAGCACCTCTGCCAGGCCCAGTCCCTGCACACATCCTCCCCTGGCACCGTGACTGCCTGCTGTTGATCGCACAAGCCTGCCTCACACACAACTAGTCTTGTTCCCCCACACCTTTGCATAGGCTGGGCCCCGCTGACTGCTCCTCAGACCCCACCAACCCACATGGCAATTCAAGTCCCAACTCCTTCCTGAAACACTCCCTGTGCTCGCTGACCACAACCTCACTGCTCCCTCCCTCCTCTACTCTCCCTGGAATTCTGCATTTGGCTCTCTTCTGAATTCCTTGTTTTGTGTGTGTGTGTGCACGTGTGTGTGTGTTCTCTGCCTAGAAGCAGAGAGCCTATTGTAGTGAATGGTGAGATGGTATGCAGCTAGCTCAGCAGAGAGAGAGGCCAAGGGGAGCCCTAGACTGTGACCACACAGTGCCACCTGTGTCCCTTGTCATGGCACCGACTACAGTCAACGTCTAATGCTTACTTAATTGTTTAACCCTCAACAGGACCAGAAAGACCACAAAACCTGGGACTGTGTCAGCCTCATTCACCAATGTATCCCTGGCAGCTTACATACGCAGTACACTTTAGATGGACAGATGAAGTGATGGATAGATGGATGGATGGACAGATAGGCAGATGGGTGGATGGATGGAGAAATGAATGGATGGGCAGATGGGTGGATGGATGAAGAGATGATGGATGGACGGACAGATGGGCAGATGGATGTAGAAATGGATGGATGGATGGGCAGATGGATGTAGAAATGGATGGATGGATGGATGGAGAGAGAGAGATTGATGGACAGATGGGCAGACAGGTGGGTGGATGGATGGATGGATGGATGGATGAATGGATGGATGGAGAGATAGAGAGATGGATGGACAGATGGGCAGATGGGCGGATGGATGAAGAGATGATGAATGGATGGATGGGCAGATGGGCAGA